TTTCAGGATGCCTTGGTGGCTCAATCGGTTGAGCAGCGTCCGACTTTGGCTCAGGTCCTGATATCTTGGTTTGTGAGTACCAGCCCCGTGTCAAGCTCTGTGCTGACAGCTCAGAGCCTGGAGCCTGCTTCCAATTCTGTGTCTCCCTCTCTCTCTGCCCCTCCCCCACTTACAGTCTGTCCCCCCCCACCTCTCAAAAACAGACATAAAAAAAATAGTTTCTATAAACTAATCAGAAAAGTAACACAATAAAAGAACAGATACACTTTGTTTTCTGAGGAAGAGACATAAAATGACTAAAATGAAAATGTTTGCTAATTTAAAACTAATCTTAAAGCAATTATGAAATGGTAATATTTGCCTATTAGACCAGCAAAAATTAAAATCCATTTTAACATCCACTGCTGATAAGAAATGTACACTGAGGTAATTGCTGTCACTAAGGACTTAAATTGATACACTGTTTTTAGAGAACTATTTTTCAGAATATATTGAATTTTTAAATGGACATATACTTTGATCTGGCAATCTCATTTCTAAGAATATATTCTACAGAAATCATAGAATGAGTATATGAGATTTATCTAAAAGGGATTTATTCCATTGTTGATTAGAGAAAAAGAATAGTCTGAATATCCATCAGTGAGGAAGTGATTAAATGTATTTGTGTACATTTATATGAAATACTAGGCTGCCATTTTTGTTTTGTTTTTCATTTTTTGTGGTTTCTTTTAATGAGGCAAGTCTGGGTGCTTTAACGTGGAAAGCATTCCATGATATCTTGCTAAGTGAGGAGAGGAGGAGTACACTGTAGGCCAATGTTAGCCTGATCCTGTGTATCGCCATATAACAATAACCCGAATATGTGCGAATATGTACGAATAGATGTGTCTCTATAAGCCTATGAAAAACTTGTGAAGGTTATGCACCACCGAGGCAGAGGTGAAGGTAGAGGGGCAAGGAGAAAGATAGAAACGTCCGCTGATGCCCTTTAAGGGTGGTGGTGGAGACAAGAGTGAATGAGGTTGGAAGGCGTGAGCTGGGGGTGTGGGTTACTGTGGAGATGATTGATCAGGAAGGAAGAGGGAAATGGAAATTTAGCTCTAGGGGCACATAGGGCAATGCAAAAGGTTTTCGTTTTGTGTTACATAGGATAGGAGAAGTCGGAGTGTGTTTGCATGCCAAGGAAAGGGAGAAAATACAAAAAGAAAACATTGTGGTAGTCAGAAGTGTGGTGGGGGGTTGTCAAGGACTGGAATCTCTCTCTGGAGTTTCAGAGGGTGAGTGAAGTTGGCAGAAGGTTTTTTAAGAACTCCAAGCAGATGGCCTCTATGACGACAGGCAAGACAAAGAGTAGGGGATGCAAATGGCTGGTGTTGGGAATGGAAGAAAATGGAAAGTGTTGGGAACAGCTACTCTGGAGTTGATTTAGGCACAAAAAAAGGGTATAAGGAGGACATTTAGGAAAAGACATAGGGAGGAAAAGAAGGAAGGAGAAGCAAGGAACTCGTTTAGGGGAAGGGAAAAAAAAGACCTAAAGCATAACTTCAGAGCCCATGACTTCAGGTATTACTGATTTGCAGCAAAGTGAGTGGACATTTTCTCAGTGCCAGCAGCTTGGAGAAGGAGAAGGGATGCAGGGGGGTTAGGTTAGCATTAGAGGATTTCAGGCATAGTGACACCACGAGGGCTGCTAAGGGTCTCAAGTTGGGCAAGAAAGCCCAAGTGAAGCTGACAAAGCAAGAGAATATAAGGGACTGAATGTTGTAATAAGAGTTGGGAAAAAAAAAAAAGAAAACAGATACCCCAGGAGTAAGGGAGGGAAGGAGGTGGTGGAAAAACAAGTTGGAGTCACACAGGGGGAACATCAGAGTTCCTTGCAGAGAGTCTCAGGTTCTGAGGGCAAAGACAGAGCCAGGTGATGGGTGTTTGCACTGCCCGTTGGTTTGTCTCCATGCACCTCGAGTCCCGTGAGGGAAGAAGTTAGCCAGGTCTTGTCCAGTGCCTGGCACGTAACGGACACACAGCAAACATCTGAACAAGTGGCCAGCGTGGCATGGAAGCTAAGGTATCTGTAAGGACAGGATGCCGGATGGGTCCTCAGTTGCCCTGTGAAAGTCGCTAAAGAAAATCGCACGAAAACGAGGGGGAAGAGAAATATAGCCTTCCATATTGAATTGTCAAGGATGGTGGGGACACACCTGGTTTTAGTTGACACAGTTGACAAGGAGAGAGGGGGTGATAAAAGTAAATTGTGTGACTAGCTTTTGAGCCCTGATCCACCTGTGCCAGAATAGGTAGGAGACCTGCTAAATCTGCACGTTTCAGCCCTCCACCCCAGACCTATGGAGTCAGAATTTCTGGGAATGCAGTTTGGGAAACTGCATATTTAACATGTTTGTCATAGATGCTGAGGCCCACCCACTAAGACTGGGTTTGAGAAGTAAATGGAAATAAGGAGTCTGCCAGCTTCTCCTTCTATCCAAGCAAATCCAGAGCAGTGGGAAAGACAACCCCAAAGCATCTTAAAAGTTTTTGAAGGAAGCGGCGTTAAGAGGAAATCAGTTTCAGTTAAGTCAAAGAAGTACAAAGCATATGATGGAAAATGGCAGGGCTATTTTTAATGACCGTTTCTAAGATGTTCACATGGATTCATTCCATGGTTATGAAGAGACTCAAGATTCCATTTGCCCTTTTATTGAAGAGTCAGGTTAAGGTTTATTATCAATTTCCGTTCCATAAACAGAAATGGCATAGAACACTGCTGTGTGCGTGTGCGTGTGTGTGTGTGTGTGTGTGTGTGTGTAGAGATGTGATAAAATCTGTATACACACATATCTGTATGGTGTGTATATTTATTTCAAGTCGGAAATAGCCTTCTTGTAAGGAGTTTTCTTGAAGGTGATTTCACTGTAATCATCTCACAGTGCCCTTTCACTTTTGGACAGCGTTCAAAATGTTATTTTAACATCCGAATGACACAGGCTTAAGCTTGGATATATTTTTGCAACTACGGCCCGAAGGGGACTCTGTGCTTCTGATGGTATCTTCTAAAAGGATTCCTTTGTCCTGGAGCCAGACAGGGGAGACTTGCAGGTGTTGGAGATGTACAGGCAGCCACAAGAAGGGTGGTACCATAGCAAGAGCAACAAGATGGGAACTCTAAGAACAGAAGGAGAGTCAGCTTAGTGGGGACTAGAGGGCCATCAGCCCTGCTGACTGGGTGAAGAGTGGGGTTCAGACGAGGGTATTGCCTGAGGACGGGTGAGCTGGATTGGAGAGAGATCAGGGGATTGAGGATAGGTGTAAATCGGAGGGAATGCTATTTTTGAACAGATGACTCATTTAAGGTAGAATCACGTGAGACACGGGTGGCTCAGTCAGTTAAGTGTCCAACTCTTGATTTCAGCTGAGGTCATGATCTCACAGTTCGTGGGATCAAGCCCTACATCAGCCTCTGTGCTGACAGTAGGGATCCTGCTTGGGATTCTCTCTCCCCCTCCCCTGCTCTCTCTTTCTCTCTCTCAAAATAAATAAACTTTATT